TGGCACAGGACAGAGCAGAGTTTAGGGCTGTTGTACATAGGGTCGCTATGAGTCGCAAGCGACTCGACAGCACATAACAACAACAACAACAATGCCTCCTTCATCTCTCTGAGTCTTGGTTACTCAGTCTGTCTCTAGTTGTCAGTTTTATTAACTTAGTACGAGTCATTCTGCAAAATGAAATTGCACATTTAGGAAAAGGAGAGGCTTTGTGAAGTCACGATAGAGGGCCTGGAGGATTGTGTGAACCACTGGCAAAGCCAGTGGGGCTGAGACTGAGCTGGAGCAGCTCACAGTGTCAGAGGAGTAGACCACCCCAGGAGGAGGCAGGCCTGTCAGAAGCGGCTCAGAGCTCAAGAACTTCAGAAAAACCAGTGAAACCATCTACTATTTTTAAAAACTAACCTTTCTTTTGACTAAGCCACAAAAAAGAACAACGAAAACAAACAAACAAAAAACAAACCCAAAGCCCCCAAACCAAAGTTAAGCACATGCCATTGCCATTGTACTCGTGCAATTTTTCCTAGAAAAACTACTCTAAAAGGAACAATCCCTCAACTCATTCTATGTCTAAGAATGAGAGCATTTTACTTCGGTATAAGGATAGTTTTTTTCTTTCAAAAAAGCAAGATTAAATAATTGAAAATATCACTTGGTTTTAATAAACAAAAAGTACAATAAACTTACTTTAATAATATTTACTTTCTGTTTTCAGACTAAAGTTCTAAACAAATCTTGCACAATTACAGTCTATATGGAGTCATTTAGTCTAGTGGATTTCCCAGAACCAACTGGGAAATAAGGAACCTTTCTACTTAGCTCAGAGGGTGGGGTTTGGAGCCATGTAAGGTGGGCCCGGGCCTGAGGAGCATCTCAGTGCGGGACAGGGAGTGCAGAAGGTGCAGGGCCCTGGAGTGAGGTGAGGTGCCTCAAGTCCTGGCTGCCAACAAGGAACTGATAATGGGATCTGTCGCGTCTGAGGTCTCCTCATCTCTGTTTTGGATTCTCAATATCAGGACAGTGTGGGCAGGGAAGCGGGACAGCAGCAGCTGGCCAAGGGCTCTCTTGACCACGTGCATGTCATGGAAACTGCAGCTGCTCCAGGATGCTGAGCAGATGTTGATGGTAGTTCTTGGAGGCCAGGCTTATGTGAGGATGGCTTATTATCCAGAATGCTGTCAGCCACCTGGAGGTCAAACAGGAGGGCTGCACAGCAGGACGTCACTGTCCGTAGCCCCCTAGCACCCCTCTGCCTTGGTGACAGTTCCTCAGTTTCACTCAAGTGAAGCTCACTCTACTGACCTCAGCCTGTTGTTATTATGTACCAAGGAGCTGACACTCCAGTGGGGTTTCAGAGGCAGTAAATTGCACAGGAGGAGACTGTCCATCTTTCTCCCTTAGAGCAGCTGGTGGTTTCGAACTATATGCCTTCTGGCTGGCAGATCAGCTCCTTACACTAGGCTAGGAGTTGCTGTTAGATATGACTAACAACTTGTAAGTCGACAACTCATAAGGACCCTATGAACAAGGGATCTGAACCCTGTCCTATTCTGTGCCAACCTCACAATCTCTATCACACTCGAGTCCATTCAGCAATCACTGTGTCAATCCACCTGATTAAGAGTCTTCCTCTCTTTTGCCTTCTCCCCCACCTTTCCAAGCTTGATGTTCTTCTCCAAGGAGCAGACTTCCTAACAACAGTCCCTAAGTATGCAAGACAAAGTGTCACCATCCTTGTCTCCAAGGAGCACTCTGGCTGCACTTTCTCCAAGACCTATCTGTGTGTTCTTTTTTTCCTCTTCTTTTTTAATAAAATTTTATTTTAATTGTGATTTTAACTAATATTTGCAAAGAAGTTAGATTTTCATTCATTCATTGTTGCACAATTTACTCCCTTGACCTCTTTCCCCCTCCTCCAGTTCATTTTCTTCTAGTTTATGTACAAAATTTGAATACATTGTTTTTAAGAATAAATTCAATTTCTCTCAACCCCTAATCAACAAAGTGTACAATCCCATGATTAGAAGCCCCCCCCATTCTCATCCCTCTACTTCCAACCTCTCCCCCATCTTGGATCGATATACTCATTCTACAATAATGGTTTTATACAATATTTATCCTTGTGGGGCTGAGTTAGTTCATTCAGCATAATGCTCTCCAGTCCCTCCCAAGAGAGGTAATAATTTACAAAATCATTGCTGCTGTGTGCTGCAGAGTATTCCATTGTGTGCATGTACCATAATTTCTCAATCCATTCATTTGTGGTTGAACATTTGAGCTGTTTCCATGTTCTTGTGATGGTGAATAATGCTGCTATGAACATTGGTGTACAAGTCTCTGTTTGCGCCTCAGTTCTCATTTTCTCAGGGTATATTCCGAGTAGTGGAATAGCTGGATCATATGGAATTTCTATGTTCTTTTGGCAGTCCATGAGATAGTCAGTACTCTAACACCACACTTCAAAGGCATTGTTTTTTATTTTGTCAGCCTTATTCATTGTCCAGCTCTCAGCAGCACAGCAAGTGAGTGAAAAGACTTGGGCTAAATCAAGCACACCTTAGTACTCAAACTAATATCATTGCTCTTTAGTAATTTGGAGAGGTCCCTGACTGCAGATTTTCCCAGTGCAATATGTCTCCTGATCTCCTGACTGCTGGTACCAACTATATTGGTTGTAGAACCAAGATGAAACTGTTGACAGTTTCAATTTTTTCTCCATCTATTATGATGTTGCCAGTTGGTCCAGTGATGAAAATTTTTGTTTTCTTGACGTTAATCCATATTGAAGTCTGCAGAGTTTGATCTTCTGGAGCAAGTGCTTCAAGTTTTCCTTACTTTCAGTGAGCAAGGTATGTAATCTGCATAACACAGGTTATTGATGAGCCTTCCTCCAATCTTGATGCTGTGTTCTTTACAAAGTCCAGCTTCTCAAATAATTATCTCAGCATACAGATTGAAAAGATATGGTGAGAGAATATAACTTGACAGTTGGCCTTTCTTAATTTTAAACCATGCTCCGTCCCACACAGCTTCTTAATCTAGGTACCGGTTTCCTCATGAGCACAATTAAGACTTCTGGGATTTCCATTCTTTTCAATATTAGCCATAATTGGCATGATTTGTTTGTGGGCACACTACACTCAGCCGGAGAGTGGGGCATGTGGCACAAACTAATCAGCACAATTTCAACACCCAGCCACAGTGCTGGCCTAGGGCAGTAAGACGCAGGAACTGGTGCTCAGGTTTTTGGGAAAGAGCTGCTTCCTCTCTCATACTCTGCTTAGAAGCCAGGAACATGTGGTGGTCAGGACCTGTGATGGTCACTTGTGGCCTCATCTGCTGGGCCTAAGGATGAAGGCAACAGATACATGGCCCTCATTTACATTATTTGAGTTGCCAAACTAGGCTTTGTCTAAAGCCAGGGCTAACTATACACTTTTCTGTTTAATAAGCCAATAATCACATTGGTTAAAAAAACTCAAACAAAACCCCTCATTGTTATGGAGTCAGAATTGACTCAGAGCTGATATTATATGAGGTCTAATGACCATGGCCAGTAGAAGAAAAGACACAGGGGTATAAGTGACCAAGACTCATAGAGTTGGTTTTTTTTTTTTTTAAAGGAAGGTATATTTCTGCTTCTATTTAATTTCCCAAAGAAATATGAAACATATGAAAAAGTGACATAATAGATTAAGAATACATCAGCCCACTCACAAGAAACACTCCTTAATAATGACATTTTGAAAAAAAATAATGACATTTTGGTTGTTGAGAATATTCAGAACATTATTTCAAACTGGCAAAATCCAGGGCAACCTGAGAAATGAGAATTCAAATGTGGCAGCTACATTCACAGATAGGTTTACATGGAAGACACATACACAACTACCTGTTTTATATTTATTTTCTTTCTTCAGTGAATCAGTAAAAAGGCCAAGACCATTGATCCTGAAAATAAGTTATTTTGTACATTACAGTGCACAGAACAAAAGAAGAAAAGACACTTTGTCTGAAAGTGACTGAAAGGCAATTTGAAATAGGTCCCTATCAATCTGAAATGGAAAGACTGGAGCACAGGCTCGTGGCGTTCATTAGCTTGAGCTCTCCTCTGTTTTGGCTGCAGTAGTCTCAGTCAGAGCTGTTTCCTCTAAACCTTCTGGCTTCTTCTCGTCATCGTCATCATCATCATCACCACCATCATCCTGGGGATAGAGGTCGGGGTATTTCTGCATGCATTCCTGCATGGCCCGGAACTGGTCTATACAGTCTGACCCCTTGACATCCTCTGTGCTATAGTGGAAGCAGGAGAAGGCTGACTTGAACTGCTCCCCACAGGGTCCACTGGCCATTCCTCCGAGGCATGGGCAGTTCCAGTTAATGTCTCCATTTGGCAATATCCACGCTCCTCGTATGAGTCGTTGGTCATCAGCCATGGACTCTGCATTGCTTGGAGTTTCATGGTCCTCTTCGGTCACAAATATAATTTGATCTTTTCCTTCTTTCCAGCAGTAGGCCAGGGCACCCCTTGGCACTTAGGAAGTGACGATGATACCTCCATGCTGTGACCTCTCCTCAGGTAGGGCAGGCAGCTCAAGGGTAGATTTTTTTTATGGCTCCAGAGGGAAAGAACAGGATGAAGGAAGAGCAATGATGATAGTTGAAGAGTTAGAGGAGACACATTTTAATTCACTAAGAGGAGGAACTTCCTCACAAGAGAGCTGACCAAGCAAAGAATGGGCGCCTGGAAAGGCAGTGAGCTCCTCAGCAGAAGAGCGAGGTAATTAGGTGAGGGTACTTGCAAGGCGCAAGTAGAACTGGACGTTGGACTAAAAAACAGCAAAGTCTTCTCATTAGGAGGTAGTTTTCCTAAGTATTTAAGGGCTTTTAACAAATAAAATTAGCTGGAGGGATAGTCTTTACTGACTCATAGCTGACACTCCAGTGGGTTTTCAGAGGCTGTCAATCACACAGGAGGAGATTTCTCATCTTTCTCCTCCAGAGTAGCTGGTGCATTGGAACTACCTGCCTTTGGGTATGTTAGGGAATGTTGGGGAGAAAGGGAGAGCCTCTGGTCAGGACAGATCGCCTAAGCTCTAGATAAGTGCAAGCCTCTCAACGGCCTTTAATACAGGGTAGAGAAAGGTCTCCTGTGTTTAGCTGTAACAGCTTGAGAAAGCTCACCACCTGGAAAGATGGCTGCCGCGTCTGTTGAGCTGGGAGTGGTCCACACAAGGCTGAGGTTCTCCTATGTAATCGGCATGTCCCACGTCTGCAAGCCCACCCTATTCTGTCTTCCTGTTGACTTGTTTGTATATAAGTGCATTGCAGCCAACAATAAAATTGATCTGGACTGACTCTCTGAAGGGCTCCTGGAGTGGTGCATCTCCATCGTGCTTATCCCCATCAGGGTGTCACTGTTCATTGCCGGTGAACGGACAGCAACAGGGTGGAGAGCACAACACTTTACCCACTAGGCCACCAAAATACTCTCCTTACAGAGTTACAGAGTAGCTTTCCTTAAAGTTTCTTTGAACAATCTGGCTTGGGTAGACAAGGCCCTAACACTCCCCTCATGCCCACAGCACACAGTGCCACACTTTAACAACAATAATAATAACAACAAGCTGTTTCACAGTGCTTCCTAGATGCACCATCTCAGTAAACATTTTCCTCACACCAAACTCAAGGGGTGCTGTCGACAATGACTTATAGCCGCCCTACAACCAATAGGTGGAATCCTGCACCATCCTCACAATCTCCATGTTCAAGCCTATGGCTGCAGTCAGTCACAGTGTCAAACCATCTTGTTGAGGTAGACAACATCACTAACCCTATTTCACAGGCACAGAGAGCTCAAGTAACTTGTTCAGGTTGAACAACTTAGAAATAGAGGAGTTGTTGTTATGTGTCATCGAGTCATCTAGGACTCATAGCGGCTCTACATACAACAGCCCTAAACTCTGCCCTATTGTGTGCCAATCTCACCATCTCTGACAAACCTACCCCCATTATCCCAGTCACTGAATCAATCCATTTCATAGAGGGTCTTCCTCTCCTGTGCTGTCCCTCCACTCTCCCAAGCATGACATCCTTCTCCAAGGACTGGTCCCTCCTTGCAACATGTCAAAAGTATGTCAGACGAAGCTTCAGAATCCTTGCCTCCAAGGAGCAGCCCAGCTTCATCTTCTCCAGGACAAACCTGTTCATTTTCTTAGCAGTCCATGGTATATTCAACACTCTTCTCCAGCACCACAGCTCAAAGGCATCAATTCTCCTTCTATCATCCCTAGTCATTGTCCAGCTCTCTGAT